TAAAAATATTAGACAATACTAGATTTTCTAGAGTAAATATTTCTCTTTGTCTTTATTTAACTTTGATGAAATTTGTTTTTTCACATCTTAAAGTTTACATCCAATCATTTTCGAGAAAAGTTTTCGTTCAGAAATCGCGACATCTGATTGGTGATTTTAACAATTATTTTTACGCTCGATTTTTCATTTCTGCACTTTTGTTGCAGAATAATCGGAAAAATTTACTTTTAATTTGATATTCGTTCACGATATGATTTTCACTTTCTTTTCTTCGTATTATTGTTTTGAAATCGTAATATTTGTGAATTTAAATCGTTCGAATTATTGTATCATATAATAATGTATCACGCGTTTTGTGCTACTCGATATGTTTTTCCCAATTTATTATTTATCATTTATTTGTTGCATGACATCGATTACGCAATTCCATTCATACATAAAATCTATTATAATCAATTATATCGAATAGATTTGATCGAATATATCACGAAACATTTCTCAATGTTTTTTTCATCGTTGGTCAATTTTGTCAAGCAACAAAGCAACTTTTGATTTACCTTCCGAGTCGATCATTTTCAGAATATTATTTTCACGCTCTTATTTTCACAATATCGATCAAGTCGAAACAACTTTTGATTGATTCGAGAAAAAATTGTCTGTCTTATTTATTATTTTTGATCGGACAATTTAATCGTTCGATCGTGCACAACGATAAAAAAATGATAATAATAATAATTGTTGAACCATATGAATCGATGCATTTATTTTTAGAAAAAAGAAAAAACGTTTTCGGATCGATAAAATAATATGATCGATAATTTCGATATAATTATTCTTATAATAAATTTATATAATATAACAAGTGGATCAAAAACATTCTTCCATGATTAAAAATAAACAAATTTATTTTTTAGCAAATTTGAATAAATTTTTTAACGATTAAAATTATATTTTTATAGTTTTCTTTTTCTTATAAAATTGTTACGATTTTGCAAAATGTAACTTTACGAAATTTATTTTTTTTAATTACAATTAATTGCTCGACATTTAATAAAAAAATTAAAGTTTCTTACGTATGAAACGTAATGTAATGATATATCAAATACTCTTTACCGAAAGTTTATAAAGGTTAGGTTAGGTTATGTTAGGTTAGGTTAGGTATAATATAATATCATGATGAACGATACGTGATCGTTGGAATGATAGTATTACACGCTCGACAATTTCTTACATCGTTACATAGTTATATCACGAGTTGAACTATGCGAGATAGAAGATCTGCGTATAAAGATAAAATGTTATTCAGTCATAATAAAAAAATCTCAATGAAAATTTAAGATCGCAAAATTAAATTCGAAAATACAGCATATTAGAGAAGATAAGAAGTTAGTCATTTTTATGTCTTATTATGTCATATTTACAATTCAAGACCTTTCTGATCTATCGTCAAATGTTACGCAAAAACCGTAACCGTGTTCTTTTTCCCACTCTTATTCGTTTAATTTGATCGATATTGAATAAGTGTAATAGAGTAATCGTGAAAATTCAAAAGAAATAACGAAAGTTTTAAGATATTTATATTTTAATTTTTTTTGAAATTGATATTTCGAGAAATTAAAATTTTCTCGAATAATTTGAAATTTATGTACATCAAATGATGCAATATCGTTACCGCATTTGTAATGCACTTTTCATTTTTATTCAATATGCTTCGCTACTATCGCTCGAATACAAGGAGAGGGGGGAGAGAGGAAAAAAAAGTGAAAATTTTTATTCATTTGTTCAATGAAAAATTTAATTCGTTCAATAACCTATTCGAGAAAATGTGAAAAATGTAAAGTACAAAAGATATATTTATTTTTCTTCAATCGGTATTTATTATTCAAAAAGATCTACGATGACAACTAGCAAAACAATATCGGAAACTCAGGCCACCTATTATCCACCTTCGTTAATGCCACCTTTTATGGGCGCTTATCCACCGACCAAGTTGGGTGTCTCTTTATTCGAGGGTGGAAAGATAGGTTACTTTCAAAATTATAGAAACGAAACGTTATCAAAATTGTCGGTAAGTTTTCTTCTTCTCAAAAGAGAGAATATTACGTTTACTAACATTATTTCTATCTAATCGATGATTGGTGAGAGAAAAAAAATTTAATTTTCAATTGTTACACAAATTTTATAAATGATTCTTTGCTTTGTCATATCTATATATTTTTCTAACGCACGAAAGAAACGATGAAACTTCGATACACGTGAACGTAAATAAAAATATTTAGCAATGAGTTTTTTAAAATTTCTCCTTCGCTCACTCTCGTATCTCATGGAAAAATACGGATACTTTCAAACAAATTTGAAAAAAACAGAATAAAAATAATTAAATATTAACAATGGTATCTAAGAATATATCAATAAATTTGATAAGCGAAAGAGATATTCATGATTAGTAAACATTTGCACTATGAACATCTATTATTCTCTTATCGCTCGTAGATGCCATCGTACGAATGGGGAATGCAGAAAACTCCGTACAGTCCAAGACCTGAAATCGTCGCGGACACGATGCGTCGTAGCATTAATCGTAATTTAATGGTGCAGACGAATGACATCTCCACGATCGATCAAAAGCGCATGAAGGAAATTGATGATCTGTTCAAAGTAAATAGATTATATATAATTCGTTTACGTTTTAAACGTATTTATAATTTTGCGATTGATTAGTTTTTTCCCTTTACGATAATATTTACGAAATTACGATAATATTCGAATTAATTAAATCGTTCGTTCCGAAAATCATTTCAAATGTACGTTTAATCGAACGAAACGATCGGTCTGTGCCACGGACTGTTCTGTTCGCCAATCGTTATTCAATACGAGTCTATCGGGTATGAAAGTTTATTTGACTCGTTGACACGTGATATATAACATAATGTAGGTATTGAATTTATTGCATTCGACACATGGAATTTTGTGCAATGCTTTTATGTACGTGTATGTTTCGATTCGTACGAGATTTTCAATTTTTATTATATATAGATCTTTTCTATAATGTTGATTTTGATTTTTTCTTTTATTATTGATTCATAATAATGGAAAAGAAAGAAAGAAAAAAAGTTTGGAAAGATTTTACGCGATATCGCGTTTCTTTAAAATATTCATCGAGTTGTTCGATATTTTTCCAGTTTCCGTATTAGTATCGATTTAGCTGGCAATAATTTTGAAGAAAATAAGTGTCGTTTCAGCAACTGCGTTACACGCTTGAAGAAAGACGAGTTATTCTTGGAAAAAATCTATATCGTATATCTTTCCTCAAACTTTCTTTATCCACCTTTCTCTAGACATTTCCAGTCTTCTCTCTTTTTTTCCTGAATTTCTGTTCTCTATCTTCAAAGATTTTTCCTTCGCCCTAGTCTTGGAAATACACATGTGCTGGCTGTTCCTACCAAATAGTTGGCGCGTATGCAAAAGGATTCTATTTTATCTCAGCTTTTCCTCTTCCGATATATATATTTTCTCTTTGCTCTATCTTCATATTTTCTTCCTCAAATTTTATTTAAACTTGTTGATTTTCTT